TTTCTACATTTTGTATTATTTTAAAAATATGAACATTTTTATTTGTCACTCAGCACACATAAATAAAACTCATTACCTGGAGCTAAAACAATTTTTAAGTACTCTGAATTCTATCTCTAAACAATGATAGCGGGGCAGGATTCTCTCTTCCTAAATATCTCTTTTGTGCCGCCCTGCAAGCTCAAACAATAAATCAAACAAGCAGACGATCTGTATCCAGTTTATAATCAGTTGATTAAATCATGCATTCAATACGCCATGCAGTCGCACTATCTTTCTCAAATACAATCATTCATGGAGGTAATCAGGTCTCTCGCCAGCGTCATTATTCATCCATTCAATCAAACGTGTGTTACTTCAACAACTAATTCATCCAGTTATTTGTCACTAATTCATGCAAATATGCTTTCATGTTTTATGTACTCATTCGTTTATTCATTAAATCCACTATTTATTCAGTCATAGCATAATTTATTCACTCAGTCATTTAATTCATTTATTAATCGCCTTTTGAGCCTTTATATGTCACATAGCGTTCACACTCTTTTTCTCATTCCTTTCTATTCCGTGCAGGCATTTTAATATCTGTGGATGGAATCTTGTCTAGCAGCGATGGCCTCTCTCATCGACAGTCGTTTTAGGGTTCCTTTTCACGTCCCCGCCTCCTTATTGCATTTATTTCCCACTGTAGCGCCTGTTTGTTGATTTTCTGCTGTTTTGTTATCGGTATGTGTACACGGAAGCGCCATCTTCTCTGTCTTATAGCGGTATTTGCCATGAAAATTTTTCTTGTTTCTTCACTGCTTTTTATTTATCAAAATCTTGAAATAATTTAATCATTGCTATACGAGTTGAAGTATTGGTGGTAGTAGTGATGGTAGTAGTAGTGGTAGTAGTGGTGGTAGTAGTGGTGATAGTAGTGATGGTAGTAGTGGTGGTAGTAGAACTGGTAGTAGTGGTGGTAGTAGTGGTGGAACTAGTGATGGTAGTAGTGATGGTAGTAGTGGTGGTAGTAGTGGTGGTAGTAGTGGCGGTAGTAATGATGGTAGTAGTGATCGTAGTAGTGATGGTAGTAGTGATGGTAGTAGTGGTGGTAGTAGTGATGGTAGTAGTGGTGGTAGTAGTGATGGTAGCAGTGATGGTAGTAGTGATAGTAGTAGTGGTGGTAGTAGTGGTGGTAGTAGTAGTGGTAGTAGTAGTGGTAGTAGTGGTGGTAGTAGTGATGGTAGTAGTGGTGGTAGTTGTGGTGGTAGTAGTGGTGGTAGTAGTGGTGGTAGTAGTAGTGGTAGTAGTAGTGGTAGTAGTGGTGGTAGTAGTGATAGTAGTAGTGGTGGTAGTTGTGGTGGTAGTAGTGGTGGTAGTAGTAGTGGTAGTAGTAGTGGTAGTAGTAGTGGTAGTAGTGATGGTAGTAGTGGTGGTGGTTGTGGTGGTAGTAGTGGTCGTAGTAGTTGTGGTAGTAGTTTTGGTAGTAGTGATGGTAGTAGTGGTTGTAGTAGTGATGGTAGTAGTGATGGTAGTAGATGTTGTAGTAGTGATGATAGGAGTGATGGTAGTAGTGATTGTAGTAGGGATGGTAGTATTGATGGTAGTAGTGGTGGTAGCAGTAGTGGTAGTAGTAGTGGTAGTAGTGGTGGTAGTAGTGGTGGTAGTAGTGGTGGTAGTAGTGGTGGTAGTAGTGGTGGTAGTAGTGGTGGTAGTAGTAATGGTAGTAGTGGTGGTAGTAGTGATGGTAGTAATGGTGGTAGTAGTGGTGGTAGTAGTGGTGGTAGTAGTGATGGTAGTATTGGTGGTAGTAGTGATGGTAGTAGTAGTGGTAGTAGTGGTGGTAGTATTGGTGGTAGTATTGGTGGTAGTAGTGATGGTAGTAGTAGTGGTGGTATTGGTGGTAGTAGTGATGGTAGTAGTGGTGGTAGTATTGGTGGTAGTGATGATGGTAGTAGTGGTGGTAGTATTGGTGGTAGTAGTGATGGTAGTAGTGATGGTAGTAGTGGTGGTAGTAGTGGTGGTAGTACTGATCGTAGTAGTGGTGGTAGTAGTGATGGTAGTAGTGATGGTAGTAGTGGTGGTAGTAGTGATGGTAGTAGTAATGGTAGTAGTGGTGTTAGTAGTGATGGTAGTAGTGATGAAAGTAGTGATGGTAATAGTGATGGTAGTAGTGATGGTAGTAGTGGTGGTAGTAGTGATAGTAGTAGTGATGGTAGTAGTGATGGTAGCAGTGATGGTAGTAGTGATGGTAGTAGTGGTTGTAGTAGTTATGGTAGTAGTGATGGTAGTAGGGATGGTAGTAGTTATGGTGGCAGTGATGGTAGTAGTGATTGTAGTAGGGATGGTAGTATTGATGGTAGTAGTGGTGGTAGCAGTAGTGGTAGTAGTAGTGGTAGTAGTGGTGGTAGTAGTGGTGGTAGTAGTGGTGGTAGTAGTGGTGGTAGTAGTGGTGGTAGTAGTGGTTGTAGTAGTTATGGTAGTAGTGATGGTAGTAGTGATGGTAGAAGTGATGGTAGTAGGGATGGTAGTAGTTATGGTGGCAGTGATGGTAGTAGTGATTGTAGTAGGGATGGTAGTATTGATGGTAGTAGTGGTGGTAGCAGTAGTGGTAGCAGTAGTGGTAGTAGTGTTGGTAGTAGTGGTGGTAGTAGTGGTGGTAGTAGTGGTGGTAGTAGTGGTGGTAGTAGTGGCGGTAGTAGTAATGGTAGTAGTGGTGGTAGTAGTGATGGTAGTAATGGTGGTAGTAGTGGTGGTAGTAGTGGTGGTAGTATTGGTGGTAGTAGTGATGGTAGCAGTAGTGGTAGTAGTGGTGGTAGTATTGGTGGTAGTAGTGATGGTAGTAGTAGTGGTGGTATTGGTGGTAGTAGTGATGGTAGTAGTGGTGGTAGTATTGGTGGTAGTGATTATGGTAGTAGTGGTGGTAGTATTGGTGGTAGTAGTGATGGTAGTAGTGATGTTAGTAGTGGTGGTAGTAGTGGTGGTAGTACTGATGGTAGTAGTGGTGGTAGTAGTGATGGTAGTAGTGATGGTAGTAGTGATGGTAGTAGTGGTGGTAGTAGTGATGGTAGTAGTAATGGTAGTAGTGGTGTTAGTAGTGTTGGTAGTAGTGATGAAAGTAGTGATGGTAGTAGTGATGGTAGTAGTGATGGTAGTAGTGGTGGTAGTAGTGATGGTAGTAGTGATGGTAGTAGTGATGGTAGCAGTGATGGTAGTAGTGATGGTAGTAGTGGTTGTAGTAGTTATGGTAGTAGTGATGGTAGTAGTGATGGTAGTAGGGATGGTAGTAGTTATGGTGGCAGTGATGGTAGTAGTGATGGTAGTAGTGATGGTTGCAGTGGTGGTAGTAGTGGTGGTAATAGTGATGGTAGTAGTGGTGGTAGTAGTAATGGTAGTAGTGATGGTAGTAGTGGTGGTAGAAGTGACGGTAGTAGTGATGGTACTAGTAGTTGTAAAGTCTCAACTTTGGGACAATTGGTTTACTTGATCTGTTCCCGTAGCAGTGAAAATCAAATGAGATTTAACCCCCTGTCCGATTGAGAAAATAAAAATAAATATTTACGGAAAAAAAAAGACCGGACACAATCTAGAAATACCCGCAGTAAATGCAAAAGGCAGCTGCTAGAGGCGCCAAAGCCAACAGTCGCCACCAGAATTGCAGTTGATGAAAATAGTCGGTGACAATAAGATGACAGTACACATGAAGCATTAGTATTGAAATGTTTCTCCAGCTACCCGCGATACTGAATACAACAATGATACAACATCTGCAGAAGTTAAAAGTTTACCACAAGAGGAAAAAAGCAGATCATAATGCTGCACCAGTCACGTATAAGTCTGTCTGAAAAATTGTACTCGGCTTAAAAAACAGCAACAGCTGATCGTTAGCTGCTAAGATTTAGAATAGAACTTGTTAAGGGGAGAGTTCTAGCAGGGAATCTTTAAGAAATGTGATTTTTGAATTTTTTAATAATTTTGATATTAAATTAAAGATTAATCAATATCCTACACGTTTCTGTATAAATTGTCTTAATCAGTTAAATAGTATTGGAGTTATGATGGTTCAAAAATGGTGAGGTGTTTATGGTCTTGGTAGGGAGAAAAAAATCTTGAATTCGTATTTTTACAAATTCACATATCTTTAGCCTCAATGCGAGCCTCCCAAAAAGTTTTCTACAACGAAAGACCCTTTGAATGGAACAATCAAAATGACTGCCTTTGTGGAAGCGTGTTGATATTTTCTTTGCTCTGAAATCGTTTGTATAAGTGTTAGTCTAAACAATGTCAAGTGATATAAAGTATTGTAAACATTCAAGGAAGTGGAAGTTTCACGGGAATAGGTTTATGAGTGCTACAAATGGATACAGAGAATTAGATTTGAATCATACTATTGAGGACGATAAACATGTAAACACTGACATTCCTTCAACTACAAGTAATTTTGTGACATGTAGTAGTAAAACTAAAAAAAATAGTACCAAAGTTGACATTCCCAGTGCCACGCCCACTCACAGTACCACGTCCACTCATAGTGCCACGCCCACTCACAGTCGGTCATCGATAAAAATCAACGACCTGTATGACATTGATGATGATCCAGACACAGATTTAGAAGAATGTGATGAGGTAAACCGTTATCCTAAATGTGACAGTGAAGGCTAAAGGATTGTTGGCCAGGATAGTCTACGTCATCAGATTTCATCACAGCTGGTTTGTGCATTTTGTTACAACCATGTCAGACTTACTGAGAACAAGGACTAGGTAGTCAATCTGAATTTGCATGTAGCAACCAAAATTGTAAAAGATAGACCATTTTTCATTCAACTCTCAAATTAGTGTCAACAACAGCAACAGCTCACAAGTACACTCAGTCAATAGGGGAACTGTCTATGCTATGCGCGTTGCAGAAGCTGATCGTTCGGACTTGCAAACATTTTGTGGAATAATGAATCTTCCGCCGCCTGTCCAGAAGAGTACATATAAACTAATAAATGCTTTCCTTTCATCAATCTGATAATTCAGCGTCGATTGTGTGAGAATTTGTTTCTTCTAAATACAATAAAGACAACACCTATAGCAAATCCGACTATGTACAATACAGTGAGTAGGATATATTTCTTTCTCAGCTGATACCAGGTGGGGATGTCTGGATAAGTTGTTGTGTCTCCCTCCGACTCTAGAACGCGCTTGATGTGAGACAGAAGGGGAAATCTGCCGGATTTACATATCTGTGGATGAGAAATGAATAAAGGGTTTTCATAAAAACATTTTTCAACTATCTATTCTAATTTAAGAAATTATCTTCATTTTATCAGTCTAATTATCAATTCATTCATCAACTAATGCATTTCTCCATATTTACATTTACACATTTACATATACGAATAATAATGGCATCCGTCAGTCCCGGGGGACTATGGAGATGTGCCGCTGGCTTTGGGAACAGTATCTGCTGTGACTGTAAAGTCCGATGCGGGAATGGCAGTCTTTGCCACACAGGATACACACTCTCCGGTGCCTTCTCTCCACAACCCCTGGCGCCTAGCTCTACGCCAATTGAGCAAAGGCTTATAACCGGTGACTGCTGTTTCCCGTGTTGTGTCGAAACTGTTAAGCATCGCTGGAGTGACCTCTCCAGTTCACACGCCAGGGCGTTTTGATTTGGAGTACAGACTGTTGCCCAGGCAGCAAGTACCCCCTCTCTACGTCGCCGATGATACCAAGGGAAAGGCAAAAACCAGTACAACTTGGCACCGAGGACGTTGCAGGAATTGCCGGAATAGTGCTGTATACAATGCTAAACCGCCTTAGGGATTCCAGCTCCGGATTTTTCCTCAGGGTTTACTCCCGAAGCGCTTTCTTAAACATGGGTATGGCCACAAGGCAGTGGAGGTGTGTAGTCAGAGTTTACCTTCTCCTAGATGAGCTGCACTCCCATGCTGGCGAGCCTCATCTGCCCGTGGTTTGAAATCAGAGTTTTCCTTCTCCTAGATGAGCTGCACTCCCGTATTGACGAGCCTCATCTACCCGAAGCATCTAGTTAAAGCGCCAGAGACCCGCTTTCGCCCCTTCTCCTGTTAGTTTAAACATCTCCGCCACAAGGCCAGGAGTTGGACTTTTGCTGTCAGAGGCTTTGAGAGACGCATGCCTTGAGGGCATTTCATGGAGACTGAGAGCTTATCCTAAGCCCCGACCTCGGCGTAACAGCATTTGGAAACCATATACGAATACATTCATACATACATACATAATTACACACATACATACATGCATACATACATAAATACACACATAAATACATACATGCATTCATAAAAACATGTATACAACATACATACTGCATACATACATAATACAAAAATACATATATACATACAAGGGACTGAATGTCTCGAGG